TAAGTAAATAAATAGCGGTATAGATACGCACGGCCTGTAGAACGACAGAATCAAAATCACACACAATAAACAGATTCTCATCAACAGTCCTGACAAAAGCCTACACAATGTGGTAGCTGTTAACATAAAGTCAATAAGCAAGTGAAAACAAAGGCATATTATTTGGATACTCATACACTAATGAGATTGAAAACGAGGCGCGGGGAGGAAAGCTCATGTAATATGGGGTGCTCTAGACCATTTGAACTCCATGCCTGTGCCAACGCACATCATGAAGGCAGGGCTCTTAGCTCCATGTGTATCTGAGAAAGCAGGGAGAGGGTGCACTGGTGAAGTGCCTGCTGTGTGAGCATGGGGACCTGAGTTCAGATCCCCGGGATCCCTGTAAGAGGTGGGGGGAAGGAAGAGGGATGGAAGGATCCCAGAGGCTTGTTGGTCAGCCAGTCTAGACAGACTGATTAGCTTTTTTTTTTGGTTTTTCGAGACAGGGTTTCTCTGTGGCTTTTGGAGCCTGTCCTGGAACTAGCTCTTGTAGACCAGGCTGGTCTCGAACTCACAGAGATCCGCCTGCCTCTGCCTCCCGAGTGCTGGGATTAAAGGTGTATGCCACCACCGCCCGGCTCAGACTGATTAGCTTTAAGTCCAGTGAGAGACCTTATCTCAACAAATGAAGGTGGAGAATGACTAAGGAAAGATACCCAACACAGGTACACACGCACCCCTACACACTAACAAGATAACATCTCTCTCCTCCCTCCCTCCCTCCTCCCCCCCCCTCTCTCTCACACACACACACACACACACACACACACACACACACACACACCTATCATCCCAACACTAGAGAGGATGAGGTAGGAGTAACAAGGCAGTTCAAAGTTAGCCTAGCCTGGGCTACACAGTAATTTCCAGGCTAGCCTACGTTACACTATGAAACCGTGTCTAAGGAAAATGCAAAGTAAGGAGAGGAGATGGAGCCCTGTTTGGGAGATGGTGATTCAGTCCCCATACAGCCTGGCGACTGTGAGCAACCAGGGGTCTGCGAGCAAGAGGTACAGGAATTACAAGACAAGGGGACATTTGTCTGACCTAGCCCAGAGACCAGAAGGGAGCCAACATGGTAGAGAATAGGTGATAGCACCCCAGCCCTCCAAGATCACCCCACTCCTGCCATCAAGCTTGCCAGCTCCCACTGTATAGGTACCAGAGCCATGGGCTTCAGAAGGGACTCTGGAGGAGGATGCCTGACCCAAGATTGGAAATATCCCTAACAGGGAGCCCACTTGGCAGAAGGTAACATCTAGTCTTCAGTGGTGATCTTCCTAGACAATAACAAGGCCTGGTTTGCCCAGATGGGTCAAGATAGTCCTGGAGAATGCCCAGTGCGAGCCCCACAAGAGCACAGGCTGGACCAGGTATTCAATCACATGACAAGAGGGGAGCTCCCAGGATATCCTGGGTCTCAGGTTTCTGCAGGGAGTCTCCTCCCAGATCTCCTGCCCCAGGCTCCCCTTTCCAATCCATCCTTCATGTCAACCCTCAAGAAAGTGTTCTGCGCACGTCTCTGGCTTCCCTGCTGGAAACCCAGTCTTAGCTCCCTGCACCCAGAGTAGAGCTTGAACTTTAGAACCCAGGATTGGCAGCTCCTCCCTGCAGCTCCTGGAGCTCCCCTCACTCAGACCTAGTGACAGCTCATGACTCAGGTCTAGACTGCAGCTCCTTTCTGAGACACCCGCGCCTTTACCTCCTTTCCCGTCACATGCTCACCTTCCAAGCCACGGCTTCAGCGTCGCCCACCCAGAGGTGGTCCTGCTTCACCTGGAAAACACAATAAAGACACACTTGTCTGGAACACTGTGGCAAGCACCAACCCTGGACTCCAGCTTCAGCGGCGGTGGACAGCGCCTGACCACATCACCGCTCTTCTCTGCCTGGCCATGTTGACTGAGTTTAGAATTGCTCAGGTCAAGCCCAGAACAGCTGGGAGTACAGAGGGCTCAACACCCCTCGGAAGAAGCTTTGAAAGCTTGCAGGAAAGTCATAGCTAAAGACCCAGCCTCTAGTCTTTGGGAGAGATGGCTCTGGGAATGAGGTGGTCACCTGCTCCCTAGTGCACATTTGTTAACCCCTCCTGCACTTCCGCATCCTCTTCACTCCCTCAGGCCACCTCCATCACCTCCCAGATAGCTACCTACACTCAAGCGCCTGGTTTGAGGTCTGCTTAGGGAGACTCAGACCGACAGTGAAACTGGACATAGCTCCTTGAGGCTCAGGATTACCGCAAGTTCTTCTCAAATTGAAGAATTTGTCAGACTTGGTACCCACCAGGATCAAACCTCTTGTATCTGTGTGACTTCATGCCCACTGGCTCAGTCAAAGCACGGAGGAGATTCTTCTTAAATTGCATGTATGTGTGTGTGTGTGCGAGTGCATGTACGTGTGTATGTGTGTGTGTGTACCACAGCATGTGGGGGGTTGGAGGACAGCTTGCAGGAATCAGTTCTTTACCATGTCAGTTCTGAGGTTGGAAGGGAGGACATCAGGCTTGGTGGTAGGCACTTTACCTGCTGAGCACCTTCAACTGCCTACCAACAGGAGATTCTGAAACCATGAGTAAAATCTCTCTTAGAACAGGGGTGACGAGGACTATCCTCTTCCTGTTCTTCACCAGCATTTCCCAATATGCCTGGATCCCTCTGCTTGCTCTTACCATCTTCTCATTGCGGAAGGAGTGTGGACGGCGGGAACAGACCTGGACTCTAGGCCTGGGTATGGTCCAACTGGCTATGACTGCAACCAACCTCACTGGGCCGCAGTTCCCACGAGCGGAAGGTGGACACGAGCACAAACATCTGCGTGGCAGGGTTACGACTTGTACAGTAAAAGCACATGGCAAACTGCAGAGTGGATTTTGAGGCTGAGCTGTCACTGTCCCTGGGGCTGGCACCAGGCCTGGCATGGAGGAGGTGCCTGAGAAATGTTTGGAGAACAAGCTGAAGCTCAGAATGGAAATTCCGCGGTATTTCCTCTCATTCATTTGCTCGCTCATTCGGCATTTTCATGGATACCCTCCAGATGATGCCTCGGGCATTTGTGGTCTTTGGAGGAAACTAGAGAGAGAATAGCTGTCTCAGAGGGACCCCAGCCCATCACCCACAGTGTGGAGAGATGTGACATGGAGTGATGTAAACTGAGGCACAGAGGAGGGCAGGGAGGACGCTCCATCCTAAAGGCATGTGAAGAGGCAAGTGCCAACAGATCACGGAGATAAAGGAGAAGTTGCGAAGGTCAGCAGGGAATGAGTCATGACAGACTCCATGTCCTTGCAAAGAGTAGGAGGGCTCTGCTCAAGATGATGATGGGGTCTAGAAAAAAATGAGGACAAGGCTGGGAGAGAAATTTTTGTGTGACTGTCAGGATTCATTTTGTTTCTCAATACTTGACTTTCCTCATCAGTGTGACTGGGGCAAAAATCCCACAAGAAGGATGCTCTGAAGAGGATGGCAGGGAGGAAGAAGGGTGCAGGGTGAATGAGTAAGTGAACAAGTTAATAAACTTGTGCTCTGCATTCAGGACTCAGCCTCAGGCCGCCCGCTTCCTGTTCCATCCCTTGCCTGCTCACACAGAGGCCACTGGGCTAAAGGCTGGCACTTCTTCAGGGCCACCTGGGGAGGCAAACAGGCTGTCAAGGCCACACATTGTCTCCTTCTGGATGCCAGAAACCTTTTCTGCCTCTGCCCTCCAATAGAGATGTGCCTCCAGACTCTGCCCTGGTACTTTCTGGGATGTGGAGGCATCTGGGGCTCCTTGGCTCCTCCGAGGGCCAGAGCAGCCTGCCTCTGTCTCCCAGATGCCCAAGCCACCATCTGCTCCCACCCAAGCCCTCAGCTCTTTTCTTAAAATAATTCCTACGGTTTCCTTGGAGACATCTCTCACACAGAAGAAAGGGAACCAGGAGGAGAGAAATGAAGCTGCAGGAGAGGTTGAGTCCTGTACTCTGAGCACCTACTGTGTGCTGGCTTGGCCTTCACACACTTTCTGAGCTCGGGCCCAGACCTCCTGGCAAGCAGAGAAAGCCTTGTAACCCTGCTGTCCTTGTTTCTGTCTCAACACACACAAATCAGGCCCAGGATCTGCAGTGTCCAAAGGCAGAGATGTGTTTGAGACTGTGAAGAGAGCTCTCATCCCAAATCCTAAGGTCCTGGCCAGGACCCGGCCTCCCTAGTTCCTTTGTAATTCCAAACACCTTTGTGGGCCTGATTATAGGGGAGGCCCAGGCTGGTAGAGACGGGAGGAGTCTCAGTTTAAAATAAGAGTAGGTCTCCTCAGGCTTCAGAAACATGAACAGCTCAATTGGTAGAGTATTTGCCTAGCATTCACAAAGCCCTGGGTTCAATCCGCAGCACCACATGAACTAGGAATAGTAGAACACACCCATGATCCCAGCATAAGGAGGCAGAGGCAGAAGGATCAGTGAGTTTGAGCTCAGCCTAGGCTACATGAGACCCTATCTTAGAAAGGAAGAACAAAGAGGCCAGCCTGGTCTACAGAGCAAGTTCCAGAGCAGCCAAGGCAACACAGAGAAACCCTGTCTCAAAACCAAAACAAATGAACAAAAATATTTGGGGTTGGAGAGTTGACTCAATGTTTAATAAAACTGGGTATTCTTTCAGAAGACCCGGGTTCAATTCCCAGCACTCACATGGCAGCTCACAATTGTCTGTAAGTCCTGTTCCAGGGGGTCTGTCACCCTCACACAGACATACATGTGGGCAGAACACCAATGCATATATAAAAACAAATAGATAAATCTTAAGAAGAAGAAGAAGAAGAAGAAGAAGAAGAAGAAGAGGAGGAGGAGGAGGAGGAAGAGGAGGAGAAAGAGGAGGAGAAGAAAGAGGAGGAGAAGGAAGAGGAGGAGAAAGAAGAGGAGAAGAAAGAGGAGGAGGAGGAGGAGGAGGAGGAGGAAGAAAAAGGTTACCTGCCTTGAGATGCTCACACGTTGGGGAGTGGAAGGAGTGAAGGCCTATTTATTTCCCATGAGGCTTCAGAGAGGCATTTCAGCTGCTCCTCCCGATGCCGCAGCTGAATTTACAAATCCCATTGTCCAAGTAGAAAGCCAAGGTTCGTAAACATGAAATTGCTCCTAAACGGAGGAAGTAGCAGAGTCAGGAGACTGTCTCAAGTTATGCTCCAAAGGGCAGAGAGCACTTGCTTGAATTGCCATTCGCAGGACAACACAAAATGTGTCTCAAGAAACCAATAAAATAAAATAAAAATAAAAAACCTGGCTGGGCGTGGGTGGGTGTGCAGGAGGCCATTAACCCTTGCAATGGAAATGGAAGAATAAAGGCTGTGGACAGATATGTCACAGGCCCTCTCTAGCCCCTGCACTCTCAAGCTAGCCCTGAAGTCAGTGTCACCAGGGAAACACACAACATATACACACACCTGCAGAGGGACATCTAGCTCCCACCTGCTTGAGCACCCTGTGAGCCCCATCCAGAGTCTCACGGCCCTAACCTGTGTGTCCTCTGGGGACCCCGGGCCACCCAGTCTGGTTGGTCCTACTAGTAGCTCCACATCTTGGTTTTAGAGGAGACCTAGTCAATTTACAAAGATTTCTATAGCCACGCCCACATGGGCGTGCACTGTGTGGGTCCAGATTGTACCTGTCTTTCATTCTTTCATAATGGAGGGCTATTGGCTACACTGTGCAGGACAGGTCTTACTGTGGCGTCTGCAGGCAGGGAGAAAAGGGAAGGGTTTCTGGCCAGGGCTGGCAAGACAGAAGAGGATGGGGAATGGGGAGGGGGGGCACTGTCCAAGTGTGTCTGAGGAGTTTGGCTCAGGAAAGCCTCTCTGCTGCAGGCAAAGGACTTTGCATCCATCTTAGAATCAGAGCAGAGCCAGCCTGAGGCTCAGCACACAGACAGGGTGTGAGCAGGCCAGGATGAAGGAGAGCTGTGGAGAGGAGGTGGGACTGTAGGGGGGGTTAGGCTGTAGGGAGAAAAGCTATGGAGAGTGTCTTGAGGAGAGCTGTGGAGAGGAGGTGGGACTGTGGGTGGGGGTGAGGTTGTGGAGAGGTGGTGATGCCCTAGGGAGAAGGGCTATGGAGAGTGTCTTGAGGAGAGCTGCTAGGGTCTAGACCTGGCTGGTGTGGGGAGAGGAAGGCAAAGCCAGGGAGATGCCCAGGAAGTCATCTCCACAGTCGCTGTCGGAGCCGTGAGGAGGTAAGGGAAAAGGACAGAAATGGGGCTCTGGTTTTGAGGGCTGGAAGTCTAGGCACAGGAAGGGGTCCTCAAAACCCACCTGGGACTTCAGTGAGAGGTGTCTTGGAGTCACCTGTCAGCTGATTTTCCTGGACGTGAGGACGGGATGAGAGGGGATGGTTTTCCTCAGGAGGTCAGGCTCGGAGTCGTGTGAGGCTGGTACTCTGCCTTCAAAGTCAAGGCTTTTCTCCTGTTCCCAAGGAGTCTCCGCGCTCTCCAGAGCCTTGTAAGACAATGCCAGGAAAATGGGCAATGAGGGGGAAAGGCTGGGCCTGGAGAAAAAAATGACCAAAGGCATGGCATGGGCAAGGTTACCCAAGAGACCCTGGACAGAGCCTGGCAAACCGCTGGGTAGATAGTTAAGAAGTGGCAAATCTAGTTCCAGCACTCAGGAGGCAGAGGCAGGGGATCTCTGTGAGTTCAAGGCCAGCCTGGTTTACAGAGTGAGTTTCAGGACAGCCAGGGATGCATAGAGACCCTGTCTCCTAACAACAACAAAATGGCAAGTTTTTGGCCAAGCAAGAGGCTGAAAGGCTGTGAGCTGAGATGGAGGAGACAGCCAGGGAGCGGCATGGGATGGAAGCCAGCGAGGACCTCACTTCCAGAAGCAGAACGTGGTCAGCCATGCTGGGACTGCACATCTTTCCTTCCCACCTGGACACCAAGAACATTTCCTTTCTTTGCTGATGTCTGGTCCTGAAGGTGACAAACACAAGTGTGCTTAAAACTGTGAAGTGCTGGGCAGAGATGGGGAGCAGTTGTCCTGGTCCTAACAACTGTGAAGTGCTGGGCAGAGATGGAGAGCAGTTGTCCTGGTCCCAGCACTGGCACCTCCCCGAGCGACCTTGAGCACCTCCCCGAGTAACCTTGAGCACCTCCTCGAGTGACCCTGAGCACTTCTCTTTCCTTTTCTACATCCTTATTTCTCTCTCAGTCCAATAGGAGGGCTCCAGTTTCTGAAAATTCTGTTTCATTTATTCAACTAATTTGAGAAATATTGAGGACCTACTGTGTGCCAGGCACTGTTCTAAGAATTTTGGAGTCTTTAGTAATCAGGGCAGATAAGGGACCTGTCCCCATTGGCTTGCATCTCACAAAGGGAAGTGAGTGCAAACACAAAGCAGGAAGTGGGGAGTGATGTGCTTACTAGATCTGACATGCGCATATGAGCGGCACTGACTGGACTCAGTGGGTGATAGATAGATAGATAGATAGATAGATAAATAGATAGATAGACAGATAGATATGCTGGAGGGGGACCTGTTGCAAAAGTGGGGAATGAAATGGATTTGGTCTTATCTCATTGTATACATGTATGAAATTCTCAAAAAGTAAAATAAATAGAAAAAGAAAGAAACGTAGAGGTGTGGTGGATGCTGGAGTTCGTGGCGATTATTAATCTTGGATGGTTAATCAGGTAGAAGGCCTTGAGAAAGCAATGTTTGAGGGAAAGAGTCAAAGGGCCCAGTTGTGCTGGTGCATTCCTAGAATCCTAGTTTGGGGAGTTGAGGCAGGAGGATCAAGAGTTCAAGACCATCCTCAGCTACTTAGCCAATTCAAGGCTAGCTGGGACTCCACGAGACTTCCATCTCAAAGACCATTCCCAAAAATCCAACCAAGCTCAAGCAAAATGAAAATAAACACAGAACAGCCGGTTGTGGTGGCGCACGCCGGTAGGATTTGCTGAAAGAAAATAAACACAGAACAAATGAATGACATTGCGAAGCACAAGAGTAAAGGGGACAAAAGAATGTCCTTGCTGGTATCTGGGTGAAAATCATCCCGGATGGAAGGACTGACCCACGCACAGTGTCCAAAGGTGGGAAACCCCTAATTGTAAAATGCGAGATTAAAAAACAACAAACTAACCCTAACCCCTAACAGGGGTCTAGCGAGATAGCTTAGCGGTGCAAAGCACTGACTGTTCTTTCAGAGGATCTGGGTTTAGTTCTCAGCACCCACAGTATGGTTCACAGCCACCTGTAACTCCAGCGCCTGTTTATCCACCACCCTTTTGCCCTCATGGGGTACATGCACTCATGTGAACACACACACACACACACACACACAATTAAAAATAAAATAATTTTTTCTTTTTTGTTTTCTTTTTTGAGACAGGGTCTCACTGTGTAGCTCTGGCTATCCTGAAACTCATTATTTATAGACCAGGCTGGCCTTGAACTCTGAGATTTGCCTGCCTCTTCCACCCAAGTGCTGGGATTAAAGGCCTGCACTACTATGCCTGGCTAAAATCACTGAAAAATGTTTATAACGGGGCTGGAGAGATGGCTCAGTGGTTAAGAGCACTGCCTGCTCTTCCAAAGGTTCTGAGTTCAATTCCCAGCAACCACATGGTGTGGCTCACAACCATCTGTAATGAGGTCTGGTGCCCTCTTCTGGCCTGCAAACATACACACAGACAGAATATTGTATACATACATACATACATACATACATACATACATACATAAAATTATGCAGAAAGAAATAAAGCTGCCATCCATGCCAGACACAAGGAAGAACCAGGAGAGCAGAGAGTGGAGCTCCACTGAGGTTAAGGGTACCATGCTGAGGCTACACCACGTCTGGGACCACGGAGGGCAGAAAGTCAGATAAGTGAGCAATTCCCCCTACATGGATCATGGATTCAGGAACATCTGCCATCGAAAGGGCAGATGTTCTGGAAATTACGCCCCACAGAGGTAGATCTGTCTCAGCCTTGGGCTTAGGTAAGATTAAAGAAAAACATCTCCCAAGAAGATGGGAACGGACCCTTAGTAGCTACTCTAAAATAATAAAATTATCTTGATCTATAGACCAGGTTAGCCTTGAACTCAGAGATCTGCCTGACTCTGCCTCCATAGTGCTGGGATTAACGGCATGCACCACCATGCCCGGTACACTTCAAAATTTTTAAGTTGCTGGGCTGTGGTGGTGGCGCACACCTTCAATCCCAACACTCAGGAGGCAGAGGTAGGCGGATCTCTGTGAGTTCAATGCCAGCCTGATCCACAGAGCGAGTTCCAGAACAACCAGAGCTACAGTACAGAGAGACCGTATCTTGAAAAAAAAAAGTCTGAGCTATACTTGTATTTATTGATGTGACTCAGGGGACATGGCGGTCAGAGGACAACTTGCTGGAGTCAGTTCCCTCCTGTTATGCTGGGCCCAGGCTGTCAGGCTTGGAGGCTGGTAGTGTTACCCACTAAGCCAGCTCACCATCCCTGATTCACCATTGTAACAGAATGGCCTAAAAGTAATGATTTCAAGAAATGTAGGAATTTTTATTTGGCAAAATTCAACACTTGTTAATAATTTAAAAGTTGTTAGCATCCCAGGAATTTTATAAAGAGCATCTATGAAACCCTATGGCCCACATCATACTTTACAGCGGGAAATGGAATGCTTCTCCCTCTAGATTAACAGCCTACCATCATTATGTGTGCTTGGTGTTATGTAACAGACAATGAAATAAGACAAGAGAATGCACAAATCGGAACAGAAGAAGCAAAAATACAAGTTTTCGAAGATGGTGTTGTATGGTGAGAAAGTCTTAAAGAATTCGCAAAATACTCGCATTAAAAAGGTGAACTGAGGGGCTGAGGAAACAGGACCAGCGTTTGCATCCCCGGAACCCATGGAAAGCCAGATGCAGGTTTGGTAGTGGATATCTGTCACCGTAAGATGCCTGTGACAAAAACTGGCGGCAGAGGCAGGAGAATCCCCAGAAGCCTAGGGGCCAGCTATGGCTTAGCATCGGTGGACAGCAGGAGATCCTGACTCAAAGAAGGTGGGAGGCTAAGGACTGACACCCAAGGTTGTCCTCTGACTTCCATGTGTGTCCCATGGAACATGTGTGCTCACACTCTCACACATGAACATTCACACTTAGAGGCATGCACAGATGTATGAGACATTCGGCACACATACATACATATGAAAGTTTAAGTGAATTTAGATTAGATTAGCAGTTAGATTCCAGGGATCTGTCAAGGCACCAAGCTTTCACAGCAAGTACCCACTAGCTGAACCCAACTTGATTTTTTTTAAAGATTATATTTATTTATTTATTTATTTTTATTTATTTATTTATTTTTTGGTTTTTTGAGACAAGGTTTCTCTGTGGTTTTGGAGCCTGTCCTGGAACTAGCTCTTGTAGACCAGGCTGGTCTCGAACTCACAGAGATCCGCCTGTCTCTGCCTCCCGAGTGCTGAGATTAAAGGCGTGCGCCACCACCGCCCGGCCTATATTTATTTATTTAATGTGCACAGGGCGGGGTAGTGTACTACCATGAGTACGTGGTTGTCAGAAAACAACTCGAGGGATCTGGTTCTCTCCTTCCACCGCATTGGCTCCCAGGATCAAACGCAGGTGTCAGACTTGGGGGCAGGTACCTTTACCCACTGAGTCATCTCACTGTTTCCCCTATTTTTTGGGGGGTGGGGTAGGGTAGAGAGTGGAGTCTCACTATCTAAACCAGAGTGGCCTTGAACTCACAGAGATCCACCTGCCTCTGCCTCCCAAGTATTGGGATTCATGCCTGGTGCACCATTCTGGCCCCCTCCCCTGATGTTTTTAAACAGGAAAAAGATCTTAGCAGTTACTGCCCATCCCCGAAACACACAGATGGCAGGCAGTGGGTACACAAGACCTGCTCAGCACTGTATTTGTTCAGTGACTACAAATCACCATGAGAATGTCGTCTACCTCTATAGACCTGTCTATTAGAGTGACAGAAATCAAAAACACTCCTGCCAGATGCTGGCAGGATGTGATGCAGCGGGAACATTCACAGCTGATGAGAAGGCCAAGTAGTAAGTCACTTTGGGAAGATAGTTGGGTGGCTTCTCACAAAACAGAGCACTATGTAACCCCACAACTCATACCAGCTCTGCCCTTGGTATGAGCCCAAGGGGATAAGAACACATCCATGCAGAAAGTTGTACATGAATGGTTACTGCAGATAGCCCGTGACCGCCAAAACTGGGAAGCAAACAAGATGTTTTTCAGTGAGGGGTTGAGTAAGAAAGACACAGCACAGCCAATCAGTGGCGCAGTATTCAGTGCCCGAAGGGAAGGGATCTGGCCCTAAAAGGTGACTCAGATGAATCTGCATGTCTATAACCGAGTGAAAGCGTGCCCTCTGCGAAGGCTTTGTGCTGTATGTTCCCAACCCTATGCCAACCTGGAGAAAGCAAAACCATGGTTGCCAGCAGTTGGGGGAGAGGGAGCGGTGAACTGGACAAGCACAGAGTACTTTTAGGGCAGTGA